AGACTCTTGTATTCAACTTCCTACCTGAGATCTCCACTCTGTCTAATAAGTATCTTGAATTCACCCTGTCTAAAACTGACAGCTTTTTGTTTTCCCTAGCTACTGTGTTCCTCCCACCACCTTTCCCATCTCAGTTGATGACAACACCATCCCTTCAGTTACTCAGGACAAAACACCCTGGAGTCCTCACCAATGCACAGGAAAAGCATGTTGACTCTATCTTTAGAAGACAGGCAGAATTAAACCACTTTTTACTGCCTCCACCACCGTCTTCTGAGTCACTCGAGTGGGTCTTTGAAAATGTTAAATCAGTTCCCGGTGCTCCTTTCAGAAACCTTGCACTGATTCTCCATTTTCTTCAGAGTGAAAAATAAAGACCTTACAATGCAAGGTTTTGTGAGGAGTGATAGGATGGCAACGTTTTTAAAATACCACTCTTACCACTAAGCTATCTGTTTTCCTCACTAGAATGTAAACTCTATGAAGAGGGGAATTTTGTTTACCACCATACCCAAAGCACATCAGTGCCAGCACATTGAAGGTGTTCAATGAGTATTTGTCCGATTTGAATATATGCATTCATTAAATATTTCCGAGCTCATCATATATGCCATACCAGTGCTGGATACAGCAGATCAGTGTGGTCCCTGCCTTCAGGAAGCTTTCATGACTGGGTGCCCCGTCAGGGACAATGACTCATTTGGTCTTCTGTGTATTCCAGTGTCTGTGTCTTTTAAATGAACACAGATAATTTTGATACACACCGTGTGTTCTGTTTGTCTGTACCTCACTGTAGAAATTGATTTGTTCACAAGAATATACCAGGAGGAAACTCAGAAGTAACTTGGTCTCTAAAGGATGGGCGAAAATCCTAAATAGAAAATATTAGGGGAAAAAGACCAAGTAGACACTCTAGGAAGTATGTATTGCACAGACACCTCTTTCATGTTAAATAAGGCCAGTTTCCAGTCATCTTATCTCTTAGATCTAGTGATTTAATGGGTCTAGATAGTCTCTTCTCCATATCTGGCTCTTTACAGCTGCTTCCACATTATTGGCCCCAGCATGGCCTGGCAGGAAGATGCAAGAGTCTGGAGGATTCAGTTATTTTTCCCAGCAGGGAAACTGACTCAATTGGTAGCTTCACTGGAGCTCAGTTTCCTTATCTTTAAAATGAAGGTTTAGACTAAATTAAACTTAAGCTTCCTCTAGTTCCAATATTCCAGGATTCTGACTTCACTTTCTACAGCACTTATAATTGATAACAGTGATAGAAATAATACCATTCTTGATGCAGTTTTGAAGGAAAAATTAGTTATTCTTCCCATTACAGAAATCTTTGGTGTTTACATGTTAATGTCCAAAGTGTAGCAAAAAGTAGGTTTACAGTTGTAGGTAAGCAAAACACAGTTTATTCTTGTGTTATTAATTACTTATTGTATTATTTTCTATACAAACAACTGTAAACCCACTTTTGTCCCACCCTATACTATAAATAAAGGTCTTGCAATTAAAACATAATTTTAAGTTGTTTTGTTTTTGCTTTTGTTTTGGGGTGTGTGTTTTGTTTTAGTTTTGCTAATTTCAGTTTGATGAATCAACACGGGTCTATGTTCAGTCAACAAAGGAACTGGATGTCTGATTGCATTTCAGAACAATCGTGGGAAAAAATGCTTTCCCAGTGATTCTCATTGTTTCCCCCTCGGTATACTGTAAGGCTATGACAGATTCCCATCACTAACGGGGCTTAGATGAGAGTGTGGGCTACCAGTCAGGGTCTCTGGGGAAGAGGGAGTGATGTGGAGGTGAGGAGGGTGTGTCCACAACTTGAAACGGCTCCTAAATGATTGTTGTCTCCCATTACCGCCCCCACTCCCACTCCCCATTTGAGAGTCTCCATTCTGAAGATTAAACAGATACACACACACGCTAATTCAAGACCATCTCTTTATCTGCGTTCCAAACTAAAGAACTACTTTACCTAGGCGTGTATATTCTTCATGCGTTGCATCACATATTACCTGAATTCTGAAGATGATTTATATGTAGTGCATTACTGTCCACTGTTCTGCACACCGTGAAGGAGAGGAAAACTGATGCATTACACTGAACAGTTCATGAGAACTGTTCTAAACAAAGATAGGCCTATTTCAAATAAGTTATGTCTTTGGAATCTAAACAAAGAATATAAGCACTGTATATAGATAAACTGTGTTATTTTGCAAATAGACAATGTGCCTTTTGAATAACCCCTATGCTCTATTCCAACTAAGATAAATGAAGAAATGTATAGCAAGTATTTTTAAGGTGAAATTTTTAGTCTTTGTAAAGTGTAAATTTTTAGTCTTCTGACAATAACTATCATCAGGTTATTGAATCCTGGAAATAGTATAGACTAATTAAAAAGGGGGACATCTGTAATACTTTCAGCAATAAAGATAAATTTAAAATAAATAAATAAATAAATAAATAAATAAATAAAAGTGTATATGCTGGAGTCAGAGTACCTGGTTTGAAATTACAGCTTTACCAATTATTAGCTCTGTAGTGTTGGACAAATTGCTTAATCTCCGTAGGTCTCAACTACATCACCGTTGAAATGGGGGTAATAATAATATTTACCTCAGTGCTATGTTTTGGATTTCATGAGCCAGTGCTATAAACTGTTCAACATTGTGTTTAACTTCTAATAAGCCATTGTGTCAGAAGTAAAACCTAAAGAAGGTGGTAGTTCACATCTTTTTTTTTTTAAACATAAAACCTCATAATTTATGATAATACAGGCTTTTCAAAAATGAAGCTTCTACTTGCTAATTTATATGAATTGACCCCCAAATCCTGGTCATCTACTAGCTAGTTGAATCCTGGTCAAATCAACCTTCAAATAGTCGTTGGTTGCTTGCCACAAATATTATTTAGTTTTCCTCTGGTATGATGATGATTTTAGTTTAGAATCTGCATTAAAAACATTTTATCTGTCACTAGCAGAAACATTTCTGCATAAGGAAGCAAATAGAGCTGCAAATAGTGCTCCTCATGCTTCCATGTTTGTACATGAGTCACGGGGAGCTAGGAGCTCAGAGATTCAGGTGCAGTGCCCCCATCGCCTGAAGTAAGCCCCAGGAATCTGCATTTTTACCCTCTACTCTCCCAGTTGATTCCAATGGATGTGGGTCCTGGGACCACACTTTGGGAAACATTTACCTATAGACTACATGAGAGTGGCACTCAGAAGACTGTGGCTATGGATCTAGCCCTGCCATAGACTCTAGCTGTGCATACTCGTGACTTCTACTTTGAGAACATAAGAATGTAGGTCAAATATGTTGAGCTTTTTGAAAGTCAGAATTAAATATGTTTGAAGACAGTGTAACAAAGAGAATTTATGAGGCTAGGAATCATAAGACTAGACATCTAGTCCCAGACCTGGTAAATTATGGAATGTCTCTGAATCTTAGTTTTTCTATCTTTAGAGTTAATGCCATATCCACTGAGCGTGTCGTATCTAACTAGGATGTAAGTTCCACGAAATCAGAGGCTTTGTTTTTGCTCACTGCAGTATATCCAGCAGCTAGAACAGTGCCTGGTACATGGCAAATACTCAATAGCTAATTGTCAAATCAGTGAACTACATCATTCGAAATGATCTAATGAATTCTGGGAATAAAAACACAAAAATGGCACAGTTCCTTCCCTCCAGAAGCAGACACATACAAAGACTACAGCATAATTAAATGAGAGCGCATTGTGGAAATTAACTGAGGTGATGTAATGAGTCACTTTTCGAGTTGTAAGGTGATGGTGGTACCTGTAGAGAAGCAAAGTAAGAATTCAAGGAGTTCAGAAGTGGATCTGTTAACCCTTTAAAGCATTTTCTACAGAGGTCTACTGTCAGTTTGAAGTCAATGCCATGATAATCCAGAGAATAGTGTTTGTGTTTAGTGGGGGTGGGAATATGAAATGGGGCCAAGGCATTCATAATAGAGAAAGGGGATTAGAGTGAAAGGGCACGTGAGCACCCACGTACATACATAGATCTGTGCACATACATGCCTGCATGTGATGGAGAAGACAGCAACTGGTTGAAAAGGATTGTGAAGAGAACGGAGTAATGAAAGAAAAGAATAAAAAATGTAGATATATCTAATTTTCCACCTAATATTCCACCTAATATTGTCCCTTAGTCGTGCCCATTTTAATTTTTTAGTATCCATATTGATAAAAGGGTCAGAACTGGGAGTTACGTTGGAGTAGAGAGTTAGAGGAGAGTGGGCTCAAACCAAACAAAAAAACAGACTTGATCTCCTATGACTAATACTTGATTTCATTGATTGCTTAATATATAATAACATCTTCTGTTATTTTGGGTGGTTTTTGTTTTGTTTTGTTTTTAAGGCTGGAGGCTAGTCAACTAATTGTAAAAACTTCATAATTCAGGAAGTAAAAAATGCTTTTAAGTCAATCTAAATCATTTTATGCTTGTTGCATAATAGCGGAATTATGTTTAAAATTCACCCACTAATAAATACATGGAAAATGGTTTCCTGTGCTGTGAAAGGAAGTGTGGGTTTTTATAATCATTTTTAGACTTCTTTTTTTATCATCTCTTTTCAAAATGTGCATACTGACATCTTTATATTCTCCCTTTTCTATTTAAGTTCCAAGTTTAAATTTGTACGTCTCTAAGACAGAACTTTGTAGCATGGGATCCAAGAGTCTCCCTTAAAGATGGTGAACCTTCTGACGCTGCTGGGAAAGTTCTGTGTGTCATGCACGTTTTTCTGGAGAAGAGGGCTCATGACCAAAACAAGGGCCTGGGAGAAGAATTGCAAGACTACTATGGGGACTGAAGTTTGTAGTGAAAAGTATTTGAAGTTTATCAGTGCATTTTTTTGTTTATATAATGACCTATCTTTAAAAAAACAAAACCTTTCTGAAATCAGAAGAGAAATATCATGGGTCTTGGAAGGTGTGTTTTACCGCATGGTGCGTTTCTGCAGGTTCGATTCCCGTCGCACTTCAGTTCCGACCTCAAGGACCTTCTGCGGAACCTGCTGCAGGTGGATTTGACAAAGCGGTTTGGAAATCTGAAGAACGGTGTGAGCGATATAAAGACTCACAAGTGGTTTGCCACAACAGATTGGATTGCTATTTACCAGAGGAAGGTGAGCCTTTCCCTTCTCCAAGTCAAAAGCTTTTTTAAAGCTGGAGTTTAAATTATATGTAGTAGAAATATTTTCTTTTTACCTCCTTTTTATTGAATGTATTGGGGTGACACCGTTAACAAAATTATGCAGACTTCAGGTGCACAATTCTGCAACACATCATACACTGCATTGTGTGTTCACCACCCCAAGCCAAGTCTCCATTCATCACCATTTATTCCCCCCCTGCTATTATGAATGTGTTCGCTTTCCCACTATAGTGGAATGTAGGATTTCTATGTTTTTATTGTAATTGACCACCTTACTAAATCCTATTATTGATTTCCATAGCTTTTCAGTGATTCCCTTGGACTTTATTGACAGATAATCACAGGGGGTGGACGTATCATTTGCCTCTTTTTCAATATTTGTATTTTATTTCCATTTTGTTTTATTATATATACTAGAACGTGTAGAATAATATTTTAAAACAGTAGTGCTGTTAAACTACTTGTTCCTCTTTGGAACGGAAATGCCTTTCCTATTTTACCATCAAATATGAAGTTAGCTCTTTGTCTTGGATAAGTATTCTTGATCAATTTAAGGAAACACCCTCGATTCCTACCCAGTATACTGTATTTTATCTTTGACATATTACTATGATGAAGTGTATTGGTGAGATAGCCTCATATCCCTGAAGTGAATACCATTTAATCATGGCCTATTATTATTTTAGTATCTGCCTGAAATCAATCTGTAAAATTTTCTTTAGGATATACTTCGTGTTTTATTAAAAGTCATATAAATCAAAATACTTTGGCAACCACTGGTGTAGATATTAGAAAGGACCCTGGGCCAGTAGTAGAGAACCATAAATTTGAGACTTGCTATAGCCACTTATTAGTCACAGGAATTTGGTCAACTTTCTGTTTTATAATCTGTAAAATAGTAATAAGGACACCTGTCCTGCCCTCTCCTAGTGTTGAATTGAGGAAGAAATGCTATAGCCATGCGTATGATTATTTGTGAACACTATCAATGCTGTGTAAGTTGGTGTATTATATTTTCAGCATTTAAAATATTTTCCTCAAACATATTCAATACTCCACATAATCTTTATAAAGACCACATTTTAAATCATGGAAAGACATTTTAGGTTTAGGATGCAAGGAGAAAAATATTCAGAATTCAACAATTCTGTAATTTTTAAAGAAATTTGTTTTTTCCAACTTTCAGAAAGTTTTGATAGCCAGGTATTTTAAACAAAATAAACTTGAGAACTTAAAAAAGAAGGAGATTAAAAGTGAGTCTAAGAGTTAACCTGTAACCTTAGGAGAAAGAAATTAAGGAAAAGCAGATGGGAAAATAAAGGCTTTAGAAATAAGGAACTGATAAAAGAAAAACTTGAATTCTGTAACCTTCAATACCAGTATTTGATGCCAGTAGTAAATTATCATAGAAATCTCTAAAAGTGTCATGCTGGCCTGTACTATTCCTTGAATGCAAATGTTGAAATTAATAGCAGACCTACTGTTGGCTGCTTTTTCTAATGCTGTTATCGTTTAGGTACTTATAGGCATTTAAAGATGCCATTGTGTATTAAGTGGAAGTTTATTTTCCTTAGTGTTTGGAAACTCTCCGGCATTTGTTTTTCCTCTTATTCCAAAATGTGTGGATTTTTCCTCACCACCAAACAATTAACTATCAACCTGGAGGCAGCGTCATATCCCACAGGATAAGGGCTCAGGGCCACAGAACCCCCACCCCCACTTCAGACGCCAGGCTCAGGTCCAGTCCGTCACCGTGCTTCTGACTAACTGGCTATAGAGGTTCCCACACACCCCTCTTGGGGTTTGATTAATTTGCTAGAGTGGCTCACAGAACTGAGAAACTTTACTTACTATATGACCAGTTTATTGTAAAAGGATATGACTCAGGAACCTCCAGATGGAAAAGCTACGTAGGGCGAGGAATGTGGGAAGGGCTCAGAGCTTCCTGCTGTCTCGGAGATGCCGCTCTCCCCAAATCCCCACCCGTTCAACAATCCAGAAGCTCCCCAACCCCATCTTTTTGGGGTTTTATGGAGGCTTCATTTCATAGGCTTGAATGATTAAATCATTGCTGATCTTTCAGGACTGAACTCCACCTTCAGCCCCTCTCCCCTCCCCTGGATGTCTGAATGTTCCAGTCCTCTAATCCAGCAATTTTCAAACTTTTTTTATCTCATGGCATGCATAAACTAATTACTAAAATTCTGAGGCACACCAAAAAATATATGATATTGTTGCTGATCTGACAATAAAAGAGAGGAATAATTTGGATTGACTTACAGAAAAGTAGTAGTAGTAGTAGTTACCTACCCTTTTTGCTCCAAATTGACTTTTTAAAAAATCAGGTGCTTATATTTGTATATAAGGATTTCAGGTACCAAGAATTAACCAATCAGATGCAGCCTCATTATGTGATGTGAAATAAGATGTAACTCTATTATGTGACTTGTGTATTTATGGTTTGAGACAGAGCATTCACACTGGACGGAGATTGTGCTATTGGCTGCTGTCATTTTTTTATTTGACAATCTAAGGGAAACAAAGTCAGTGCCCTGGACTAAATAGTCAGGTACTGCATGTTTTAAAAATACTTGCAGCACACCGGTTGAAAATAGGTGCTCTGATCTCTGGGTTGATCCCCCTGGCATCCAGCCTCCACCCTTAGGTTACCCAGGGACTTCCTAGAAGCTGCCTCATTAACATAACAAAAGCCACCTTTACCCCTCTAAATACTTAGGAATTTCCAAGGGTCTTAGGACCTCTGTGCCCCAGGTTAGAATGAAGACCAAATATATTTCTTCTTATAAATCGCCAATATCACATTTATTTTTCTCTCATCTCAATTATAGGTTGAAGCTCCATTCATACCAAAGTTCAGAGGCTCTGGAGATACCAGCAACTTTGATGACTATGAAGAGGAAGATATCCGTGTCTCTATAACAGAAAAGTGTGGGAAGGAATTTAGTGAATTTTAAAGATGAGCTAGGAGACGACATCAGAGCTCGCGCTCAGCCTTTGCACTCTGTCGGGAGGTAAGGGTGGAGCTGAGGCCGCCCTGCTGAAGCAGTTCCCCGGCTCCTCATTCCCGCGGCTGAGCGAGGCCTTGGTGCGTCCCCTGTGTGTGCACTGCGCGTCCACCTGTGTAACCAGGCACCGCTCCGAAGCCGCCTGTGCCGTCCCGCGGGACGAGACGCGTCCCTGCTTCTCTTGGGTTCGTCTTGCCCCCTCCTCCTACATCCGCCTCTTCCGTTTCATTAGTTCTTCTCCTGGCAGCGCTCCGTTTCATTTTGTTGGCGTTTCCGATGGGCAGTGTTGTGGCTGCGTGATACTCGAAGGGAAGGATACCTGTTGCTGTTAGCAGTTCTTGTCAGTATTTTTTGTTGGTCAATGGCTTGAAGATATACTTTCTAATAATTATTTTTACTTTGAGTAGCTCAGCCTCAGTTTTGCCAGAACTCTTGATAATTTTTGAGGAACGTTTTATCACCAAGGAAATGTATACAAATTAAAACAATAACTTTCTTAAAACTCACTGTTCTGGCAATAAATTTGGATAGATTAATAGAGCAGCTAGACCTAGCGATGTGGATTCCTGCAGATCAGACATTCTGTGTCCCCTCACCTCTTTTTTTATGTCATCCCCCCCTTGAGTAATTAAGTGACCAGCCTGTGCAGCATGACAGACGTGCCTCATTCACAGGAAAAACTAATGACATGGATTCTCCTCACCCAGATCCTCTCCCTTGGTATCAGCATTTCTGTAGGTGTCAGAGAAGAGTCCTGAGATTTCTAGACCTGGACTCTTCCGTGAGGGCTTTAGCCAGTATTTTAATAGAACGTGACTAATGAAAGTGACAAAATTTTAAGTTTCTCAAATAAGTCCTCATTGTAGACTTTTTAAAGAAAAATAACTAAAAAGAATAGTAATGTGGACTTTACTAAATCAAACAAACGGCTTAATTTTTGTAAACACTATAGACCTGCTCTTATTTAAATGAGGCTTTCCGGCCTTTCTTGCTTTGCTCTTTGTCTCAGTCAAGGACGAAGGCAGTTGCTCAGGCGATTACTCCGATGCATTGTACTCGCCGGCCTGAGGTGGAGGCACTGTGGCAACCTTGGCTTGTGTGCTCTGCCTCATCAGCGAGGAAAGGGACAACTTTGTAAAACAGCCACGGTTGTATTTTAATTTTGAGCAGTGCTATTTTCAGATATGTAATAATCTCCAGCCTCTTTTCTTTCAGTAAACAGAATGTGTGATCATGCAGATACAATTTTAGCAATGGAGTTTAGGTTTTTTAATATACTCTTTTGCCAACTGACTTAATGTTGTGGTCACGTGGAAATTTCAAGCACTTTTGCACATTTAGTTTAGCGTTTGTTAAGAAATCCATGGCTTAACTCAGTTTTTAAAATATTTTTTTCCTTTGCTTTTAAATTTTCCACCTGGTTTTCTCTCTGTGTCAGTGACCTATCTTAAAACAACACACCAAAATAGCTGAAAATAAACTGTGCTCATTTTTTTATGATCAATTTACATGCATATAAGAGTTGTTTTTAATCAAACTGATCTTACTGTATATAAGCATTCTATTTGCTTCATTTATCGGTGCAGGTAGGTCGCTGACTCTCCTCCTTTTCATCTCTCCCACACCTTGTAAAACCTTTGAAGACATTGGAAAAGCCTGTCTGAGATGTTCTCTGGATCAATCTGTACATCTTTTGGTTGTCAAGTGTTTCTGCATGGTTTTGTCATTTATAAGCTGATAGTGATTTCAGCTTTTGGTCCACCTGTATTTAAAATGTGCAAGAAAAATATGAACTACTTTGCTGTAGCAAGTTTATAATAAAAATATAGCATCATGTTAATAAACTTATAAAACATCATTTGTATAAAATATTTTAATTAGCTCTTTTGTATTTCATTTAGACCCAAGAACATGCTGATCATTGTATTCTATATGTATGCTACAAATTCTATGGTGGCTTTGTTGTATATTATTGTAAAATTTATTTTAATAAATCATGGGGATGACAATTTGATGATTACATTTTAGTTTTCAGTAATTCAAAAGATTTCTATGAATTCTAAAAATATTTTTTTTAGTGAAATTGCTAGTGTCCAGCACTACTTGCTGTAGAATCTATCTGGGTAGATGACCCATAGGCACTACATTATTGGTTTTGAGAGCTATTTAGCCATTCCATTTTACTCTGTTGAAAGGACATGAGCAAGCTTTTAAATATATCAAGGGAGTCTATTTCCAACTTATCAAGTACACGGAATATCTTAAAATTATACAAAGTTCTCATTTTCTGCCACAGTTTAGCCAAGGACAATATGAAAATTTGAATAAAAAATAAGGGGCATAAATCAGTACTTAACCTCAAATTACATTATTTAAAACAGAAGAAATTATGTTTTTATTTGGTAAATAATAAGTAGGTGGCATGGGAGCCCTAGAAATCAAGACACCTGTGTTTCAGGCCTGGTCCGTCAGCATCAGCATGACATTGGCCTCAGTTCTCTCCGTAAAATGGAAGATTTCCATTAGGCAGTTTCTAAGGTCCCTTCTAATTTTCACATGTTGTGATAAGATTCTTTTTATGACATTTTGAAGGAATAACATGGTTTGAAGTGAATCTGGTTAAGGTGATCTTTTAGGGTATCTTATCTCTTATAGTGTTCTTGCAACTCTTTGAATATCATGAGAACTTTGTGTCTATTCAAATTCTCTCTTCCTTCACTGATGCTAAATACCAATTGATATCAAACTGTCAACCTACCAAAAAAAAGATATCGTGGCTTGTGGGTATCGTTATCATGTTTTTAATATGTTTTCATATTGACTGCCCATTGGCCTGAAAATGCTCATTGTAAGCTTGAAAAAAATTTTTTTTCTTTCCCACTGATTTCCCCCCCTGCTTATTGTAAGAATCAAATGAAATAAAGTATGTGAAAGCACCTTGTAACCTGTAACCTATCAATGTAAAATGTTAAGGTGTATTGTTATTTCATCATTTACTTCTTTGTTTAGAATGGAATTTCCTATGCACTACTGTAGCTAGGAAATGCTGAAAACAGCTGTGTTTTTTAATTAATCAATGTAAAATTAAAGTATCTTCAAAGGATAAAACAATTTGAGTATTGAATTCTAGTCGTTGCCCTTCTCTCCTGATTTATTTTCTGCAGATACTACAGATGCTTATAGATCCCTAATTTTTATGTGTTTGGGTTGGTCTTTTGGTGGTGGAAACGGGGAGGAATGCCCACTAGGCTACCCCAACTGGGTGTTTACTAAGAAACTACTAAATTTATTGCAGAGCTTCAAAGAGTGTTTCTAGTTCTTCCTCATGCTTTAGTGTAAATTGCTCTTAACCTAATTAAGAAAATACTTATCATTAAAGGCTCATCACTACAAGATCTCTCATCCTTTTATAATAATAAACTGTGAATTTATACATTTTTCCCCAGAAGTGCTTTTGAGCTTCACATTACCTCTTCCAGTGTTAGCCAGGTTGATTAGTGTGTGTTTCTATAATTGTCCTTGACCTCAGGAAATAATTTTTAGGTAATTATTTTAATAGCTTACTATTTTTTATTGCTGTGATTATTACTACAAACATTTATACATATTGATACATTTTAAAGCATGGTGCTTACTATTTTTATACCAGTGCTTCATTTTATCATTGTTAGAGCTTAATATAAATTCCAGTTTGCTCATTTCTTTGTATAACTAATTTTAAAAATAGGAACAGACCTTCACTACAGAACTATCATTATTTGAACTCCATTTAATTTTTCTTTTTTATGCACAAATGTTGAATATGAAGTTAAATGCTTTCATTTTCACTTTCCTGAACATTTTCTGTATGCCTTGTTTAATAGCTTTTCTGTCCTCTGATAAAGACTGAATTGTGTCCCACCAAAATTCATATGTTGAAAGTGTAAACCCTAGTACCACAGAATATGACTATTTAAAAAGATAATTAAGGTAAAATGAGGTCATATGGATGGGCCCTAATCCAAAGTGACCCGTGTCCTTATAAGAAGACGAATCT